AACTAAAAAGTGTTCTGTAAAAAAGGGTGGCTCGTGTGTTGGGCTTGATTAGTGCTAATCTTCAAAGTAAATACACCATTAAAACAAACCGCCAGCCTTTGACAACGGACGTGATCATTTTCCTAAAGAAAACCATCTTATTTATGGTTGTCTGTTTCCCGGTTTTAATTGTTAATATGTGCCAACAGCACTCAGAGTCCTGTTTTGCAAGATGGGTGGCGATAATAAATTTAATAAATAAAGGAGGACCGTAAGCCTTTATATGTTGGAAGAAGATCCATAGTTGATTTTTTTTTAAAAAAAAAATCTTGTTTCTTAGGGCGGTGAAAACAGGATAGGCAAGCTGATTTTTGGCGTCAGATATCTGGACACAATGGAATATCTGGGCAATATTGTCTCCTAAGGGGTTAACTGGAGGTGGCTTGAGCCAAACAAAGGGAAGATCAGCCATAGAGTTTTGCTTTCTGTTTTTTTGGAGGGGTGGGAGTTTGCCAAGAGTCCCCCGTTGTTTAATTTCCTCCTGGAAGCAGCCCAAGTGTGGGGCTCACCCCCTCCCCCCTTTTCCCTTTTCTTTTCTTTCCACAGTGACCATTGCAGAGGCTGAGCGGCTGGGGTCAAAACCTCCTCTATTGATCAGTATCCCTGCAGTCTCCAATCCCAGCATCTGCTTCATTGGCTTCTTTCAGTGCCTGCTTCAGTACATTAGAATAGAAATCCATAACCAGAGCTGTGCTCATCCGAGCAGGGGAAGAAACTAAATTAAATGGTATAAAACAATCTTGGATCAGGAGTTTGCGCCAATTCATCTTGATCCGAGATGTCACACCGGGGCTCTGTGCCTGAGCACCTGGGCTAGGAGGCAGCCACAGTGAAAATAGATGGAGCTGTGATCATTCATTTGTCAGCTAAGGAGCTTGGCAGCAGTTAGCAATTCCTTTCTGCAGAGGTCAGCTGACAGAACAATCACTGCAACTGCAGAACGGAGCTTCCCTTTGAACTATTGTTATGGAGCGTGCTTCTTGGGCTGGGGTGTGGGTGGTGCACGTGAGGGAGGGGAGCGAGAAGCAAGACTTTTCTTCCAGAGAGAAAATTAACGTAGGCAAAGCCATCCTCCCTTTCCCCCCACCCTTCCTGTATAGGTTCGCCTACTGCTGCGGGGATCATATATACAAATAGATGATGATTAAAATGATTAGGTAACACTTAGCGTAGATCCCGTCTTCATTCTTCTCTGGTAGAAGGTAACTATTGATTTTTCTTAGCCCTTTCCTCCTTAAAAGATCACCCTCCCATCCGTTTCTCGGAGTATAATGCGCTCACACTACCAGAGCTAGAACTAGGAACCGGGTCTGTCCCCCCACCCTTATAAACCAACATTTGAATGCTGGTCTTTTCAAGGGAGGAGGGAGGGATTACCATAGCTTGATGATGCCTCAGCAGATGCTTTTCTTGTTAATTCGCTTTTTTTTTTTCCAATCTTCTGCCGCCGTTGGCAATTCTTTCAGGGAAGCAAGGGCTGTTTTTCTGACATCCCTCAGATTTAACATCACAATGTAGTAGGAAGAAGTGAGGGTTGTTGTTGTTGTTGTTGTTGTTTTTCATTAAAGGCAATGAAAATATACTGAAAATGGATTTTGGGCAAATGGATGGAAATATAAGTTTCTCTTCAGTACAGTTTTCAAGTTAATTTTGAAACCAGGGTCTTTGTAGCCACCAGGGACAGCGCACTTCCATCGAAGCAAATAACTGACACAGTTATTCTGCTACAAGAAGTGTGGGCTATTTGGGACCTAGGACGCATGCAACTTTTGAACCTCTTTTATACAACCTAACCCCAACCCCTCTGACCATAAATTCTGAAAATCAGAAGCATCGTTTCCTTCCAATTTCAGGTAAAGAAATCACGAATCTTGGAAATTAGGCTTAGCATAGTTTGTTTGTTTGTTTTTAAGAGAAAACAAAGGGGTTATAGAATCCTTTGTGGGGTCATTATCTATTTTAGAATTAGAATTCTTTATTGGCCAAGTGTGATTAGACACATAAGGAATTTGTCTCCAGTGCATAAGCTTTCCGTGTACATACAATTGTGAAGAGCTGTGGTGGCACAGTGGTTAGAGTGCAGCACTGCAGGCTATTTCTGCTGACTGCTGATTGCCAGCAGTTTGGCAGATCAAGTCCCACTGGCTCAAACTTGACTCAGCCTTCCATCCTTCCAAGGTCGGTAAAATGAGGACCCAGATTGTTGGGGGCAATAGGCTGACTCTGTAAACTGCTTAGAGAGGGCTATAAAAGCACTTTGAAGCGGTATATAAGTCTAAATGCAATTGTTATTGCGATTGTAAAAATAATCATAAAACATTAGATACAACATTATCCAATGCAGCCTTCATTTTCACAAGATCTCGAGTATGATTCTAAGCCAGCAAGATACTGTCCATTGTCTAAATTTTATACTCCTTTGCTAGTTTAATTTCTGAAGCAATCCCTTCCTCTCCCCTTCCCTCCACACATACCTTGGTGAATACTTTGAGTAATTGGAAAGTACTGGTAATTTGTGCTTAAGTTGCAATATCACCCACATATACAGGTAGTCCTCGACTCACAACGATTAGTTACAGTGGCACTGAAAAACGGAACTTGTGACCATTTTCCACACTTAACGACCGTTGCAACATCCTCATGGACATGGGATCAAAATTCAGACGCTTGGCAATCGACTCTTATTGATGACAGTTGCAGTGTCCCGAGGTCACCTGATGACCTTTTGCGACCTTTTTGACAAGCAAAATCAATGGAGAAGCCAGATTCCCTTAACAACCCTGTTATTAACTTGTCCACTGCCCTGATTCACTGAACAACTGCAGCAAGAAAGGTCATAAAATGGGGCAAAACTCACTTAACAACAGAAATGTTGGGCTCAATTGTGTTCGTAAGTCGAGGATTACCTGTAATAGCTATGTATATTTTAAGGCAGCCCAGAATGGATATAATTGTATGACTCCAGGCCTACTCTGCCTTTGGCTATGGAATGTAACATTTGTATGGATCATGGTCCCCACCCCAACCTATTGCTGAGGTTGGCTCCCATCCAACTGGCTTTTCCAAAAGCTCTAAAAACATGGCTTTGTCAGTGGGACCATGAATGGAAATGGAGTTGATCAAGTGGCTGATTTGACTGCATTGTCACTGCCACGTGAGATGAAATTGGGTTTTTTTTTATTATTATATTATTGATCATTTACATATTTTAAATGTTGTGAGCCTCATAGTCACCTATAAGTGGGTTGGGTGGCTAAATAAATTTGTTTAATAAATAAAATAACAACAGCACTTAGACTTATATACTGCTTCACAATGCTTTACAGCCCTCTCTCAGCGGTTTACAGAGTCAGCCTATTGCCCAGAGGTAGTATTCAGCAGGTTCTGTCCAGTTCTGGAGAACCACTAGTGGAAATTTTGAGTAGTTCAGAGAACCGGCAAATCCCACCTCCGCCCCCATCTATTCTCTGCCTCTTGAGTCCCAGCTGATCAGCTGGTTCTTCTTTGGTTGCCCTGCACAGGAGAACGGAGCTGGAAAGCAGGTTAGTGGGGTGGGGAGGGAATTGTATTTTGCAGTAACCTTCCCCCAGGAATGGGGGAGGGAATGGGGATTTTGCAGTAACCTTCCCCTGCGACACCCACCAAGCCATGCCCATAGTACAAAATTTTGAATTCCACCACTGCTATTACCCTCAACTATCTGGGTCCTCATTTTACCAACCTCGTAAGGATGGAAAGCTGAGTCAACCTTGAGCCAGTCAGGATTGAACTGCTAGCAGTCAGCAGAATTAGCCTGCAATACTGCATTCTAACCACTAGCTCAGTGTTGTGAAGGAAAAATAATCTTTCAGTATAACAGAATAACAGAGTTTAAAGGAACCTTGGTGCTCTTCTTGTCTTCTAAGCCAACCCCCTGCTCAAGCAAGAGACCCTATACGATTTTCAGAATTAGTAGTACCAAAATCATGACAGGTAGCAACCTCGACTTACAACCATTCATTTAATAAATGTTTGAAGCTACAGTGGCACTGAAAAAAGTGACTTATTATTGTTGTGGTTAGCCGGCAGCAGTGCAGATGATGGAGGAGAGCGAGGACTCAGATGAGGGGCCAGGACCATCAGAGATTGTGGGGGCTGGCAGCAGTGATGAGGTTCCCGAGGAGCCTGTGCCAAGTGCGCATGCACGCAGGATTGCTCGTAGGAGAGAGCAGTTAGAGCACCATGGGCGACTCGGGAGTAAGGCTGCAAGGTAATGGCCCCTCCCTCAAGAGGACAAAAGCCAGTTTTGAAGAAGTGTTCTTTGCAGAAGGCAAAGACGCTCTGAAACTCAGCCTCGTGGACATTATAGTTAGTATTTGAAAACTCTTGTAAACTATTTCTTATCTGTAGGTTTTTGGCAGCCTTGAAGAACAACTTGGCAAGGCTCTTTCTTGTCAGAGTTAATTAGTTGCAGCCTTTTATCTGTGAAGAAACAGAATTTGTGAATGAAACCTTAAAAGGTGGGGGCTGCTGCCTTGGTCTTGTGTTTGCTCTCTTGGAACCAGGTTGGGCCAGAGCAATTATTGTTTTTCACACTTATGACTGTTGCAGTGTTCCCACAGACACATGATCAGAATTCAGATGCTTGGCAACTGGCATGTATTTATGACGGTTGCAGTATCCCAAGGTCATGTGATCAACTTTTGTGGCCTTCTGACAAGCAAAGTCAACGGGGAAGCCAGAGTCGCTTAACAACCGGGTTACTAACTTACTTACAAACTGCAGTGATTCAACTGAACACCTGCGGCAAGAAAGATCATCAAAGGGGACAAAACTCCTTTAACAACTACCTTGCTTAGCTGTGGAAATGTTGGGCTCTGTTGTGGTCATAAGTTGTGGTCATAAGTCAAGGACTAAACTGTCATTTCTAATGAAGCAGGTAGCTGTTTCATCATCCATGTCCTTGTATGTTTGTATTACAGGTACGCTGTCTGGACTTCCACAAATTAAAAAAATATCGTTGTCATACGAAGAGAGACGTAAGCAAGCTACCGCCATCGTTCTGCTGGGAGTCATTGGAGCAGAGTTTGGGGCAGAAATCGAACCTCCGAAGTTGCTAACTAGACCACGCAGTTCTAGCCAAATTCCAGAAGGTTTCGGCTCAACAAGTGGCGGATCCAACTATTCCTTGGCAAGGCACACTTGTAAGTTATTTTCTTCTTTTACTCCACTGTAATTCAACTGTTGCACTAAAGTTTTGTTAAACCATATATTTATAATATATTTATAATATATATAACATGGCCCATATATTTATAATATATATAATACGGCCCAGCTAGAAAGGAAAGCATAATTCAGTGTAGTGCAGTCAGTGCAATGCAGTCAGTATGTTGCATTGCAGAATAGTGCAGTGCAGTGCAATACTAAACTATACTAATATTAATGCTAATACTAATACAAGTGTCAGGGTTCCAAGTAACACCACCCAACGGAATCAAAACTCCAAGGCACGTTTCTCAAAGCATCGATTTATTAGGCATGTCATATTGGCACGTCTGGGGAAACCCGACTCTAAACCCCCTCGGGTTTCCCCCTTAGTTAAAAGTAGAATTCTTTTCCTCCTGTCCATGCTATCCATAACATGGTCCAATCAGGTCACAGTTCAAGGGTTGCTTGGTCGCAGATCCCACCTCCTTGTTCTCAGTTCTCAGAAGAAAGAATTTTATTATGGCTATAATCCTCTTATCTCTTCCTCCCCACTCACCCCCATTCCCACGGCTCGACTCGCTTCGCTGTGGCAGCCCTGAAAGTGCCAGAGGGCAGGGGTGGGATTCAAATTTCTTAACAGCTGGTTCTGTGGGCCTAATTCCTGGGTGTGGCTTAGTGGTCATGTGACTGGGTGGGCGTGGCTTGCTGACTGGGCACGGCTTGGTCATGTGACTGGGTGGGTGTGGCTTGTATGTAAATATTATAAATATGTATGTAAATATTGAATTTTTTATTACATAAAAAAGCAACTTTTACCCAAAATCAGGTGAAGCAGGCAGGCAGATTGAGTTGTTCACAGAATCACAGATTCACTCAGAGATCTTTCTGCCATTTGCTACCTGAGTCTGTCACATAAAATTTGCTTACAAGCAAACTCATAAAGTTTGCTAGCAAGCAAACTTACAAAATTAACTCACAATACACCATGTATGTAAATATTGAATTTTTTTATATATATAAAAAGGAGCAATTTTTACCCAAAATCAGGCAAAGCAGGAAGACAGATTCACAGATTTATTCACAGAATCACAGATTTATTCAGAGATCTACCATTCTGCCATCTGCTACCTGAGTCTGCACTGAAAAATAGAAGTTTCAGTCCTAAGGAAGGTTCATCTCTGCTTTCAGATTAGCTAGAAAGCAAGAAATCCAATCATTTCCTGCTTTCTAGCTAATCTAAATCTCCCGGCACAGCAGAACAGCTGATAGTCCAGGGGGATGGGGAAGGAAAAATAGCAACTTACTAAATGCATGCAAGTTTGATGGTGTGCATGCCAGGTAAGGAGTGAGTGGGCGGGGAGGGATGGGCCAGCCAGTGGCGTGATTTGCCTGTTCTCCGAACTGTGCAGAATCGTAACAACCGGTTCTATAGAACTGGTCTGACCAGGTAGAATCCCACCTCTGCCAGAGGGGGGAAAGAAAATAATTCCAGGGCTGACAACTAATACTACTAATACTATATTAACACTATACTAATACTATGTTGTATTAATGCTAATACTATATTAATAATATGCCATGTTAATACTGTACTATACTATACTATACTATACTATACTATACTATACTATACTATACTATACTATACTATACTATACTATACTATACTATACTATACTAAGTTTAGACCCAGTTGATAATTAATTTGCAGACCGTCAAAAAGTATCAGGATTGTAGACCAAACTGACAAATCAAAAAAGTATCCCAGAAATTGTAGTCACTTGAAATTGACTTGTGAGATTCTTTACTTTTTGCAATGTTTTTACCTTTTAAAATGTTCAATATAAATAAAATATTCAGATTTATGTGACACCATTAGTACAGCTTAAATGTCACAGATTATCCTTGTTACTTAAAGGCAAATATTACCCCTATATTGGTCTTTAAGGAACTTTTGATGTTTTGTGGCTGGAGAAGAAATTTTAGGTTGAAGAGGGATCAATGTACAGAACAAATTGCAAATATGCCTGTTGCGTACATTAAAACTGATTTAAAAAAAACTTGTTACAATTTAGGAACAGTTTATGAAGTGACAGGAAAAAAAATAAGTTCAAGAAAAGAGAACAAATGCCTTTTTATGAGAGCAGAAAGCTTCATTGGTCTCTTGCTGATGTTTCGTTGTTATTGTTTATGGGGAAGTGTTTACATATAACCAATTTAATTACTAAGATTCTGGACATATTGCATTCAGGTTTGATACCTGTCCATCATCCAGAGTGATGTTTGAAATCATGAAGAAGATATAAGAGGGAAAAGCAGGAAACACTTTTTAAAACCAAAATATCCCAGCTTTCACACCTGAATAATAAATCTCATCAACATCTGTGACTTGAAATCATTGAAGCTCTATTTTCTTGGAACCATTCTCCAGAGGATATTCAATAACCTCAATTCTCAATCTTTGCCTTCATTTATACCAGCAGGCTCCCACATTTGGTAAAAGTGCAATTGAAATTTTCAGATCTCACACAATTGCTCTATTATAATTCATGGCAATAGATTTTAGGCAAGAATGTCAAAAACTTACAAGATTTTGTGATCTTCTGAGATTTTTGGCCATTTAAAACTAATTATTGAAACACAAAGGTTATGCTTCTTTATAACACTATATTAAAAGAAAAATTTGAGAGATTTAACTCAATCATTTTGATCCAACTTATACTTTTGCTGTTCATAAGGGCAGATCTTTCATCAGAGTTATGCCACTAAATTTATTGAAATTTGACACCTTTAGTTATCATTATCATATTCTTACCATTAATTGTAGTTCTTTGAGAGACAAAATGTTACCTGTCTGTAATTAAGTTCTTTTTATCCTTTCCCATTGGCTACTGCTCCCTTATATGGCAGAACATTGGTTTTCTCACCACTGGACTGCCATCTGTCAACAATGGTGTAGGGTTTGCTTGGGTGGGGGGGTTGGACTAGATGACCTTCAAGGTCCCTTCCAACTCTATTAATCTGTATCTGTATCTAACAGTGGAAGAGTATCAGTCACAAATCTTTTTGGACTGAAAATATGGCTCTCCTATTTGTCCAGTGAATTCTGGATAATGTTTATGTTATATCATACTCATCCTATGGACAGGTTCCATGCATATTTGAATTCTCAGTCTTATTGCAAAGGGTTACTAAAATTGGGAAACTAATAGATGCTTGGAATTAAATTTTACACTTACAGATGATTAAAACACTGATTGGGGATTTAAGGCCTAACTGAACTGCTAATGTAAATAGCTATTGTTTTTTCACCATGTTTTTTTCCACATTTATAATTAGAATAGAATAGAATAGAATAGAATAGAATAGAATAGAATAGAATTCTTTATTGGCCAAGTGTGATTGGACACACAAGGAATTTGTCTTGGTACATTTGATAATTCATGACCTATAACAATTATTTTTTTGTTTGCCTGATTGCTTGACCAGATGGATATGTATGAGGGATTTTTCTACCTCATAAACCACTGGAATGTACAATCCATCTGGATTCTGAAAGTCCAGATTTTTATGAATTACTAATATATTGTTCAGTGACCAAATAAAATATTTATTGATTAAACACAGATTTGTTCACTTTTTGAAGTCAACTCTAAGAGTTGTTTGCAAACTAATAGAAGGATATCTTGTTTTAATTGAGGATATCTTAATCACTTCAACTTGAATAGTTGATAATTAAACAATTAAACAGCTCTCACCCTCCTCTCCCATCTTGGAAGTGTATAGAATTTAAGGAGATGAAGTGTTCTGAATAGCTGCTGCTTGCTTAGTCTAGAAAAAAAAAATTCTTTTCATTCAGCCTCTAAAGCCAGTGGGCTTCATTAACTAGTTACTGGAAACTGTTGGTGACTTGATGTGTGAATCCTGATAGAAACAACTGGTTTTTTTATATATGTAATTTCTCTGTGCTTACTTGCTCATGAGGCTTTTGTTTTTGCCTTTGCAAATGCCCAGCAGTGAGAACTAAATTAATGACCAAGTGAAGTAGAGGACTCTGAAGGTGTTCAGGTGCTACATCATCATTATTTAACAGACATCTTCCATGTCACATCAGGAAGTTGACTAGGCTACAAATTCCCTTTACAGGACATGGAAACTTTTCTGTGAGTTTTAGGGGAAAATATTTGTTTACATCTAAAATGAAAAGTCCAGAGGGAAAAAAAATGAAACCACAGAATTAGACCAATAGTATGATCTATAAAGCATCCCCAGAGTCTCAAGGAAAAAAATGTAGCCCACATCCTCAGTGCTTTTCATTTGGATTGGGAGGAACTGTCTCTTACTCAGTCCTACCAAGACCGAGTGGCTGTAAGTATTTGACCCACGCAGATCTGCGGAGTTTCCATGGATATTCCCCATTCAGGATAATGCCATCAGATTATTGATGCTTCTTCCTCCAGTTTGAAAACCAGATTCATCTTCTCCCAATCTAGCCTTCCTCAGTATATATTCATCACACAAGTTGAATAAGTATGGAGAGAGTATACAGCTTCTTGTCACTTGCAAAACTTTTTCCTAATCTCTTTCACTATCCCAGCATTGACTTTCTATCTGGCATTATAAGTTTCACATTTTCTTAAGGAGATTCCACTGCTTGACATGGGTTAGCCCATCTGAAGTTCTTTCTATAATTGATCAAGCACATATTAACTTCTTTTTTATATCCCTTGGCTTTCTCAATTGTCCATTGTGTATCAGCAATACTGTGTCTTGCTCCTCAGTCATTTCTAAAACTCAGCTTGAACATTTGGCCTCTCCCTTTTCACACAGAGGTCTAATCTGCATTGATGATTTTAAGAATTATTTTGCCAGCACATAAAATTAGGATATTGTGCAATAGTTTACACAGTCTGATAAGTCTCTTTTCTTTTGTGGTGATAAGTAGACTGATCTCTTCCAAACTGTTGGTCACTGTGTCATTTTCCACATTTTC